AAAGACATCATAGCGGCTTGTTCAAAAACAAGGCGCTATAGAAACAATCTCTTCTCGGAAGAGCGTAAGTCACTGGAGCTCCTAAGCCGTCGAGTGGATTTGGTAATTAAGCCTGCGGATTAGGGTGGTGCGATAGTAATATTAGATAGAACTGATTACCTGAGAGAAGGCTATCGGCAACTGGAGGACAAGAACTTCTACCCAGAACTCGAAGATGACCCCGCTAAATTATTCGAATCAGAAATAATCCGTTAACTGAATTCACTGTGTAAGAATGGAAAAATCACGGCTGATATGCCCAAGGCAATGCAACCGATTCAGCCTGCTCCAGGCCGGATTTACTTGCTCCCTAAAATACACAAAGCCAACCACTCCGGTCGTCCTATTGTTTCAAGCAACGGCACAGTAACAGAAAGAGTGTCAAGTGCGCTAGATTTCATCATTGAGGATATTGTTCCAACTATCCCGTCATGCATTAAGGACACTAACCACTTTTCCGTGAAATCAGCGGACTCGAGGTTCCCAACGATAGCATCCTTGTTACAATGAATGTAGTGTCACTTTACACGAACATCCCACAGTCAGACCGCATTGACGCAACAGTCGCAGCTGACAAGAAGGCCAGTGTGCTGGTGTGCTTACATGAGGACACGCTGTCGACTTTATGGAAGTTGGTACTCAGCCACAATAACTTTGAGTTCGATAATAAGCACTTTCTCCAGAAAAAACAGCGCAGCTATGGGTACAAAGATGGCTCCCAATTACGCGAATATTTTTATGCCATCTGTTGAAGAATCATTTCTTGCAAGCAGAACACTGAAGCCTGTCATTTAAAGAAGATTCTTGGTCGATATATTCATTATTTGGCACCACGGAGAGGAAAGTCTGCTGTCATTCATAGATTTTAATTCAACTCACTCATCAATCTCGTTCACACACACCTACTCTAAGTCAACTATAAACTTTCTCGATGTCACTGTTCAAAATAATGAAAAACGACTTGGCACGGACCTATACAGAAAAAAAAAACCCAACGGATCGTCATCAATACCTACATTTTAAGAGTAGCCATCCACATCACTGCAAGACAGCCATCCCATACTCGCAAGCACACCGATATCGCCGAGTTTGTTCGGACATGTGAGATATCGAAGGCCATGCCAAGGATCTTAAAACGCCCCTTGTGGCAAAAAAGTACCCAGAGAAAATCATCGATGATGCTATAAGCCGGGCACGTAGTTTAGAGAGGAATGAAATTTTGTTGGGCTCAAAACCACGCCATTCAAAAAGCCAAACTAACCTTGTCATCACATACTCGTCCACACTACCACACCTCAACAATATCCTTTCAAAACATTTTAACATTATACAGCATAGTGCGCGTGTATCCTCAATTTTCACAGAGCCGCCGCGAGTGGTCTACGGCCGCGAAAGAACATAAGACATCCTAGTTAGAGCTAAGACGACCGAGTCTGAAAGCAGTGAATGGGGTTGTAATCCATGCGGGAAACAACGCTGCCAAGTCTGCAAACACACGACTACAACCTCTGTTGCCGAGGCTTCGTTCTCAGACTTCACATTCAAAATTAAGGACACGCTGAATTGTGCCAGCCAGAACGTAATATATATGCTGCATTGCGATGTCTGTGGCCAGAAATATATCGGTCAGACTGGTACGACATTCAGATTACGGTTCAATAACCACAGAGCCCACGCACGCAGTCTGCCAAATCTGCCTTTTTTCAAGCATCTGAACTTGCCAGGGCACTTATTCGAGAAAATACGAGTCACCCTCCTACCGCCAGGCTTCCGCGGGACTCGTGAACGGACACAAAGGGAGTCATACTTCATCCACAAATTCCAAACACTAACACACGGTATCAATGAAAGCATCGGCAACTTATCGTTCCGGAGGTCGTGCAGCGGAGAGATGGGACAGGAATCGAGTCTGGTGCAAATTTCATTTTTAATTTTTTAATCTTCTTAAATGTTTTTAATAACTTTTAAATTAAACAAAAAATATTTTTTAACTGGAACTGTTACTTTTAAAAATAGTATTATTACTATTAATCCACGATATGCTCAACAGAGGTGCCCAATAGTTATCGGGGGAATGGACCAACCGAAAAAAAATTTCCATGTACTATTCGTATATGTACCTTTGTTGTGTGATTTTAATTTCTTTATTACTTTATTATTATCTTTATCATAATTATTTCATTTTTGTGTTACTTCTTGTCTGTCTGCATTTCACTGAGTTTCCAGATTTGTACACACATCTCTCGCACCATATCACCTATTCCATTATGTCTGTATTTGTTTCATTTTTACTGTTCACCTTTCTTTATATTTTCTTTGCCATTCTGTTTAAGTTATGTTTGCCTTATTATCTGTAAGTGGGAGAGCCCAACCAGCACCAGCCGATTTTAACCACAGGCGCTTCGGGGAGTGGTACGAAAGGGCTGTAGACACGCACGCAGTCATATTGACAACGTGTGCCTTCCAGAATTTAGTCGGTGTTGCTTCGAGCCCTAGATGTCTGCTTTACTTTCCAAACGGCCTTTTGTGCTTTCACAATCTTAACCCCGAAATCGGATCCCCCCGCCCCTCCACCCACATATGGAATGTGTCAGTAGATTTTCAGCGAAAGCGAAACACGTGTCTCTCCTTTTTCTAACTGACCACAGAAGAGGCCGAATCAGGCACTCTCTCTGCCGGAGTCCCTCGTCTTGCTACAGGTTCCCCAAGCTCACCCACAATGTCCCTTCATGACCTTCAAAGACGCGTCTTGGAAGCCGCCCTATCCCCCTCTTCCTTTCTCTTCCTACCCCCTGTTTCTTTTTTCTTTTGTCCTTTTTCTTTTTCTTTTGTTCTTTTTGGTTTGCTCCAGTGAATGAGACGAAGATAACTGTTCGGCACAGCATATGTCACCACTGTAAAACACCACTAATTTGTCGCTCTCTCCCGTTTCCTTCTTGCACCACCATGTCGATGCGGCATGTTCGCATAGCGTCGCACTTGTTCGCAAACCCTGACGAAGACCGGTCCACTGGTCGAAACCGTTGGTAATAAAATTAAGACAACCGCTAGGTTGTGTTTCTTCTCTTCCCAAGTACGTTTGGCCCATTGGAGAAGCACACACACACACACACAGATATATATATATATATATATATATATATATATATATATATATATATATATATATATATATATATATATATATATATATATATATATATATATATATATATAGACGTAGCGAGGAATGAAGCGCACTGGCTCCGTAGTAAAAACGGAAGCGAGAAAGCACGACGTACGACAAAACACTTTTAATAACCACCTACGTTTCGGCTGGTGGGCCAGCCTCACACTGACGAAGGCTGGCCCACCAGCCGAAACGTATGTGATTATTAAAAGTGTTTCGTCGTACGTCATGCTTTCTCGCTTCTGTATATATATATATATATATATACACTTAATGTCGCCAAAGTTCGCTAAGAAATGCTTCACGGTTAATTAAACAAGCGAGCGCGAAAGAGTACAAACACTCAGACAGGACAAGCGCTAACTAGCAACTGAAAATTTTTAATTCGAAACACACAATTGTATATGCATAACACACATGTAGGTAATCTCAAACCACCCATGTTATCATACACAATATGATATACCGAAAAAACCACTCTCATAATCGGTGGCACACAACCGAAAAAAAAAAAAACACGTGCTAAGCCCCCCAAAAACTCAGCAAACGTAAAAAGAAAATGCACTGGGTTATGTTACGTCCAAAAAAGCGAATTCCGCATCTTTGAGTATATAGAACAGGCGCTTGACTGACGCCCTTGTCACCTGCTTTATTGATTAGAAACGCTTCCATTATTTCTCTTTTCGTCCATACCCAGTGCTCTTGTCGCAACATAACCCAGTGCGTTTTCTTTTTACGTTTTCTTTTCTTAGTTTTTGGAGAGCTTAACGTGTTTTTTTCGGTTGTGTGCCATCGATTATGGAAGTGTTGGGAGTGGTTTTTTCGGTATACCACGTTGTTGATAGTAACAGGGGTACTTTGAGATGAACTACATGATTGTTATGTATATATAAGTGTTTGTTTCCAAATAAAAATTTTCAGTTGCTAGTAAGCGCTCGGCCTGTGTCCTTTCTGAATGGGTGTTCCTTTTGGCGCTGGTTTCATCATGAAATTATACCATGCCCAACAGGCAGTCATCCTGAAGAAATGCTTAACATTTAAAAAATACGCCCTAAAGGTACTGATGGTGCCCTTTTTAATTACGGAAGAGTTCTCCAATAATTAAGAGAGACAACCCATTAAAGGTGACCACGTCGGTCGCTCGCACATGTGAAGCTTCTTCCGTGGGTAAAGTATCTTGCCTCGGTTCTCAGCTGAGCTTTTTGCAGTCAAAACTTCCATGGTGGCCTTGCAATAAAAGCTTTAATCGCCGTGTAGCTGTGCAGAACATTTAACCTACCTTAACAGCAACATTTTAAGAATAACATACCCTTCCACTGCTCTTCGGGGTTCTAAAAACAAGTATGTTCGTGCTCAAGCCAGTACTCTGGTTAGCATAGTGAGAACGGCGCGCGCTAATCCGCATGACGATGGGTCGAAAAAGTGACATTCCGTAACAGAAAGTCTGTTTCACCAACTGCATGATTGTAAGATACCTTAGAAAAGCCACCTTCAAGAACTTTTGAAACTTCATTGGCTCGTCGGGCTCGAAAAAATTACATTTTGAACGTCATGTTGGGTTGTTTTCAGTGAAGGTGGTTATTTCAGACTGCGGAGTTTTTAGAGCACAAAAAAACCATACCTTTGCCTACGCACTGGTGTGTGTGTGTGTGTGTGTGTGTGTGTGTGTACTCAAGAATTAGCATTATTCACCGCCAATTATATAAAGTTTCTTTCTTTTTTATTTTCCTGAAGAGTCGAACGTTCCCGAGTATCCCTACTGCGATCCCGTTGACCTTGCAGGTGGGGGGTGTGGTGCTCTTCGGCCTCATGTGTACCATGAAGGAAAGTACCCACCTGAACATATTCTTGTTCAGCATCAGCTACGCTTTCTCTTTCAACGGCCTCCACATCATGTTCTGCAGCTTCTTCTCGAGGCGCACCTTGGAAATCATGAGCCAAGTCTTCTATGTAAGTAGTCTGTGCCCATGCAGGCTTTCTTCCAAAATCGTGGCTGCATGCACAAAAATGGAACAAGCAAATTTCGTTATGCCTGCTTTCTGAGATATGGGGCGTATCGTGATACTCTCATGTAGGTGGCAACGTAAGAGTACCAAGAAAAGAGCCTTTGGGTGCATTAACATGCAGTTGCTAACTTCCTCGAACCAATATTCCAACCTTAATAATTGTAGGTGTTCAACGTCCCAAAACCACGATTCATTATGCGGGACGCGGTGGTGGAGGGCTACAGAAAATTGGACCTCCTAGGGTTCTTTAACTAACGTGCATCTAAGTCGAAGTACACACGCCTCGAGCATTTTCGCTTCCATCGAAAAATGCGGCGTACCCGGCCGTAATTCGATCCTGCGGCCTTAGGCGATTTCCAGGGGCGTAGCGAGGGTGTGACACACCAAGCCTGTGTCCGCCCCCCCCCACCCCCCATGAAATTTTTTTTTCGCCATGGCAGAGAGATAAAAAAATTACCATTTCAAGGGGGTGGCCTCCCCGAAATCAAAAAGGTGCACCCCTCCACTGAAAAAAATTTCTGAATATACGCGCCTCGTTATATCCCGACCTGCTCCATATACAATAAAGTTTTCTTGCTTTAATTGCTTTACATACCGTGGCACATGTTGTAAAACCTCAGTCCTGTACACCTAATTGTAGTACTTGAATGAAAACTGGGCAAGTTGGTAACGTTTCATAGCTGGTGAAGTCAAAACAGCGCAAAATAACGGAGACTGAGAAAGAAGTAGACATAACACGAGCGCTGACCAGTGCTTTCACGAATTTTTCTGTCTATGTAATTTGCGCTGTTTTGCCACCACGAGCTACGGCTCCATTGTACAGCTCATAAGCGCATTGAGTATGTAAGTACACATGTGTTACAGCTGTAGCTAAGTTGCTTCATTCATATTCTGGATCATGCATGCAATGCACCCTGCACGTTTGAGCCTGTGTAACCTCCTCCTCCTCCTCCTCCTCCTCCTCCTCATCATCATCAACATCATCGTCGTCGTCGCTATCATTATCATCATCATTATCATCATAATTAGCCTATGTCCCCTGCAGGACAAAGGCCTCTCCCATGTTCCGGCAGTTAATCCGGTCCTGTGCTTGCTGCTGCCAATTTATACCCGCAAACTTCTTAATCTCACCTGCCCACCTAACCTTCTGTCTCCCCCTAACCCGCTTGACTTTTCTTGGAATCCAGTCAGTTATCCATAATGACCAGCAGTTATCCTGCCTCCGTGCTACATGCCTCGCCCATTTCTATTTCTTCTTCTTGATTTCACCTATGATATCCCTAACCCCGATTAGTTCCCTGATCTACTCTGCTCTTTTCTTTTCTCTTAAAGTTACACCTATCATTTTCCTTTTCATCTCTCGCTGCGTCGTCCTCAATTTAAGCTGAACTCTCTTTGTAAGTCTCCAGGTTTCTGCTCCATAGCTAAGTACCGCAAGATGCAGCTGTTATATACCTTCCTCTTGAGGGATAGTGACAATATACCTGTCACGATTTGAGAGTGCTTGCCAAATGTGCTCCACCTCGTTCTCATCCTTCTAGTTACTTCAATCTCGTAGTTCGGCTCCGCGGTTATTACCAGTCCTAAGTAGACGTAGCTTTTTCAGCTTCAAATACACTATTATCTATCTCGACGCGCTGTTCTCCTCCAAGGTTGATGTAATTTCTTTAGTTTTCTGCAGATTAACTTTAAGACGTACTTTTCTGCTCTCCTTGTCTAACTCAGTAATAATGAGGTGCAATTCATCCCCTGAGTTACTCAGCAATGCAATGTCATCTGCAAAGCGCAGGTTACTAAGGTACTCGTCTCCCTAACTTTTCCAATTCTAGGCCTCTGAAAACTCCCTGTAAACAGGCGGTAAATAGCATTGGGGAGATCGTATCCCCTTGTCTTAAACCCTTCTTGATTTGTATTCTGTCGCTTTCATTATGGAGCATTATGGTGGCAGTTGATACTTTATAGATTTTTTCCAGGATGTTCTAGAACATATACATGCTGAATACAGTATGTATAGATTGCTATGTCGCAAATGAGTGATCGACGAATGCGTTTGAGTCCTCCAACGTGTACCGGACGTACTATTTCATCAAAATGGTTGAACATAATGACTCGAGACACGAGTATCACCGAAGAAAGGAAGATAAAGAGAGAAAAGGAGGACTGTGCAGAGAATTTATGTATATAAAGGAGTGGTCTGCTTACTTTCTACGCTCCTTCCTTGGGTGAGACAGAACAATGTAGATACCTGATCAATCAGTTAAGGTTCCTACACTGTGTGAAAGAGCATGGGAAAGAGCAGGTGCACTTGATCATTAACCGAAATATGGCCGGCTCGTGCCGCGGCACATATTTCATATCGGCCACGACCAAACAATGGCAACGTCACTGCTTCGTCTGAGCGTGAGGAAGACGTACTGGCTCATCTTCGATTCCTGTGACGAATATCACGAAACTCTCGTTTCTGCCGAGAATCTGGTGACTCTTGCCACGTATAATACAGTTCTGTGGTAAAGCACTGAATTTTTGCTCTTTTTCTGAGCAACTCCTCTTGATATTATGTCGCCGAAGCCACTCCCAACGAGAGGGTTATACAAGCTTCGCATAAAAAAATGAAATGTGAAGGCAGAGGCTGTCTTGCAAGAGCGTTTGCTGAACGATACTTTTAAAATCTATAGATCAGCACGCAAAACGGTGGGTACGAGAGTTCAGACTCTGTCACATGAGATATCAGACCAGCTCATTTCGATTGGCGATTCGCGGCGTCCTCAACATGGACTTTTTCCTTTCTGTATGGACAGCGTGATGGGCTGAGAATTTCAGCCCACGTATACACGTAGAAGTGTAAGAGAAATTACTTTTATGATCTGCTTTACTGAGCTGTATACGCACAAGCCATCCCGACTATTCCGGCTTGTTGTTGGCGCTGTTGTGTGTGTATATGCTTTCTCTTAATATTCTGTATAAGTGACGTGTGCAGCGCGACATACAGCAGTACAACTGACATTGACGAGAGCAACTTCACTCATCTGCCTCAGTATCAAGGGCTTTTATCGTCACCCTATTACGACCTGCTGTAAAGAAAGCGCACACTCGTTGTTTAGGCAGAAGTGCCGGCGAACTTAACGGCTGCTCTGCCCCCTCGAATTGGCGTAAATAAATGGGGTCGTCGCACAATGCACAGGTATAGCAGTCTAACTGTTGTCAGCGACACGCAGCTTGTCAAGGTCTGATCGATCTGAAATGAACTTCTCGTGCCAATGAGAGCATATTGTTTGAACTTGGATAGATATTCCGGTAAAAAAAAATAATGCTTGCAACTACTTCATCTACCTTGAAGTTGCTGCATGCAAAGAAGACAAGAACAGCAAATGACTCGCAACCATTTTTTTTCTTTTTTTCACGAGACAGCTAATGTAAGCTCTCGCTATTGATATTGTTTATCTGAACAAAGAATCGGGAAGTTACTGAAACATAAACAAGATAACAATTCATCGCACGGTGTTAAAGTAAATTCTCTGTCGTCGATTAGGACAAGTGGTTGACTAATACACTTAATGTACGTACTTGGAATGCTATTCGAGAAAACATCGAATTTCATAACATGCCAAACAAGTGTAGCGTACGTGTTGTCTTCAAGTCGTTGTAAAGGTCACGTAGAAAAAATTTGGTCCCTATGTTTATACTCGCCATAAATAGCATTTGAAGTCTCCAAATAAATAAAGTTATTCACCCATAGCTAGCCACACTAAAGAATGTCACTGGAAACCTGTATTTTGTGACCCCTCGTTTTCGTTTCAGATAAAGACAAGCATGAAAAGCAGCCGGGGCTTTACATGCAGGACTAAAAAAGCGCGCAGATATGTCTATTAATGAGCCATGTGTTTTAATCTGCAGCGACAAATATTTTTAAGCATCGCGTTAAGTATTTTCATGCTGTTTCTGTTTTGGTAACTTCTCACCTAGATATTTTGTCAACAGTCTTAAAAAACAAACAATTTCTGCAACTCTGCGCCCGTTTGTTACCCTCATTCTTTCACTTAGTTCTTCGTGCGCTTCTAGAGTTCACCATGAATAGTCCGCAACTTGCCGAACGAGTTCAACTATATTGTATAAAAAAGTGAGCAGGAGCTATGAGAAAGAACACGGAAGTTGTTTGCCGTGAGCCCGTATGTCATGCCCACTGATTGTTGGAAAAATAAACTGAGCTCACTCACCCAAGAAATGTGTTTTTCGCTTAGGACTCACTCGAACTCCGACTCACCAAAATTTGCTTCGGTGGACTCACTCGGACTCAGAATTACGAATATTTTCGCTAAGCCGACTCACTCGTACTCACACTCGCCAAAACTTCCTTCAAGTGGACTCACACGGATTCAGAACCATGAATATTTTCCTGTCCTAGACTCACTGGGAATCAGACTGAGCAAATTTTTCCTCAAGCGGACCACTAAAATATACCTGAGCTGGACCTATACTCAGATTCATGGCTCAATGTGAGTCTGGTGAGCCTGAGCTTGCCGACATATGCTCGTCACTGATATGCTGGTTCTGAACAAGACCCTCTCAAGCTTCCACATCATCGAATGCTTCTCTTTCTATGGGTGCAAGTACGATCGCCCAGTGGAACCCAGTCTTGTTGCATTGACGAACGACTCCTCCGTGCAGTCTCGCTTGAAAGTGGCACTCGCAGAGAACAAGAGATATCAGGAGTTGACCTTGTGCGAGGACTGGATTGACCCAGATAATTACGTCTCGCTGTTTAAGACACTCACGTGCAAGTTGCAGCACGCCTCTAAAGAAGGTTACCATTCGATACTTCTTGGTCAGCCATGCGACCTAGATATGCCGGGCCCTGCGGCAGACCGGCATGACGGTCCACTTCATCATCGGCAAGCACCATGTCTTGAAGGACACCTAGGTAAAGCTTCAGGAGTACAAGGAGCT